CAGGTCCTTTACGTGTATACGCACGTACAATAATCTCATAATTCTTTTCTTTCCGTAAGCCGGTGATCTCTTTTTGTAGCTGCTTGGTGAATARCCTCTTAAAMTTCTTGTTATCACTGCGATAGGCAACTTCGTACTTCACTATTCGTCCGTTGACCTTATTATAACTGGGTACAGACCATGAAACTATRATATGATCGTCAGTGATTGGCTCCACAAGCACGTCACGTGGGGGTCCGCTTGGAACTAAAAAATGAAGATTCCTCAATGAGTAAGTGAGCACTTCAAATCAGGTAAACACGCAAAATGGAAATCTTTTGATATTATWATCCCTGTATAAACGACAACAAAGAAACACGTTCGTACTTCAGGAGCTACAGAATCCTTGGTGATTGAATCGCTGGGAACTAAAACGCTGTTTGCAAAATAGGGGTGTACGCTATGATGGTCGCTTGTTATATCGTGGAGTTCGTAACAGCTGAAAGCTCTATAAGATCATTCTATGGACGGCATGTCGTTATCAGTCTAGTCTTACCATCTTCGTCGGTGTTGAAGGAAAGAGGGACACTATACGGTCCGGTGTCCTTGTCCTTGTACAATGACGATACTTCAGTTACATAGCTTGTAAAAGGCTTCAAGTCTTTAATCTTTATGTATACYKTGGACGACRTTCTGAGGGCTGGTCTAGCACGCTCAATTATGGTCCAAGGGACGTTTTCATCATCATTGATTTTGTACCTTATGAGGTACTTGGAGGTGTCATCGGGAGAAGGATCCATGATTGCTATGGTGACATCACGTGACTTGAGAACAGTGACTTTGATTTTAGGTCGTGGTGCTATTAACGCAAAAAAACACATTAATGAATAAACATATACTAAAGTTTATTAACGTTCATAGTTAGTAGGATAAACACTGAAGTAAAAGAATAGAATCATTATTATCATTATTATACCCACCATTAACAAACACGTGCACATTTCGTGATGTATTGATTGACAAGCCAGGATACCAAGCAGTACACGATATCACCGAACCAGTGTCATGGTACTTGATGTTACGCAAGGTYAKAGTACTGAGAGTGGTTCCGTTRTCGAATACCTTTCGTTGCATARTTTGTGTACTCGTGTTAGCTATAGCAAAACCATTCTTCATCCAAATAAAKGCAAAGTTCTCTTGACCTCTTATCATACAYGTTATATTAAGAGATGAYGTCCGATTGACTTTGTAGCTCGCCCCTGGTGGGGAAACGATTGGCACGCTTCCTGTATCAACAAACAACAGAAGATGAACAACACTAAMATCATCATGAAATCGGCGTTTCTTCAATTAACKCATATTATATCATTATATGGAATAATGGACATARATGATGAAATATARTTGAGATTTACTTTAACAACAACATCGTTAACAACAACAACACGAACATAGTCATAGTCTACATCATGGACATTGTCAACACCAACATAGTCAACAACATCATGGACAATAACATCGTTAACAACGTTCTGAACAACAACATACACAACACACCAACATAGTCAACAACATCATGAACAATAATATCAACAACAACACCAATATTTTCAACAACAACATCAGTCAATGAAGTCTAACGTACCTACAGTCGGCGAGCATTCGTAGATTTCTACCCGCATACATATATAGCCTCTAGGGGCCCATGACACGGGATTTAAACGAATATACCTCGCAAATACCCGAGCGAACCAATTTCTGATCACTGTTTCGTTGTCCCAGTTGCCGGAAAATATCTACAAACATGAATCACAGGTGGTATTAGATTGTCTAGTAATCATGGATCGATGAACAATTACTATCGTCGTCATTGTCTTCCGTATCACCCCTAACTAACTTCATTACTAACAGTCGGGAATTCAATAATAAATCATGATTGTAATCAATCCTGTCCACAAAAGTGATCGTCCGCTGTTAAGAGAGTTATTTTTAGCAGTTTCTTTGGATTTGTTCATCACCATCATCTTCATAATCATCGTCATCATCACCAATACCACCACCATCARACCAASCAGCACCRAAAGCAACATTTCTCTAAATAATATAAAAATCATTGTTACCTTATTAACTCCATTCTGTGTATACATTTTCCATTCCTGTCCATCAAGGCTGTAATTCATCTTATAATTCTTCACAAAGCTACCTGTGATGTACCCTTGTGTAGCCACCCCCGACACAGCTCTCACGTGACCGAGGTCTATATTTAGATACTGATTGGTGTCCTTCTTATCTGTGCACCATCCTCCCCACATGACCCCGTCGTTCGAGGAACTGAATTTATTATGAAGACGAGCGTTRTAKGCATAATGTTCGTTCCAGTGAGTCGAAGCTGTGATTTGGTTATCTTTTATCCTTCTATCCTCGAGTCCTACAGGTGTCTGACAATCTAAAAGACAACACAAACCAAATACTGCATCAAAGCTATACATGACAAGAAAYGAAGCACTGAGCMATGTGGGATCTACGCTCAGAAATCATACAAGARCATGCGCAATACCTTCTTTTGGCTCGCATCCATACAACTCCATCCTGAGGCAGAATGCATCATCACTACTCTTAAGTAAAACCAATTTGATAAGGCGAGCAGTAATTGGCACCTTCAGCAACGATTTCTTTGGAATCATRGAGTTTATATTACCAGGAAAAATCTTAAGGAAGGAAAAGGGAGCGATTCGTTAGATTTATTTTTTTAAGACAGAGAAATAGACAGAGCCATACTCAAACAACAATGATAATCCATAATAATATTCCATAATAATCACAATAATAATCACATATTGATTCCCAA